CTTCCTCCGCCACTCCCTCTCCTTTTCTTTCTCTCTCAAAGTAAATAAATAAACTTTAACAACAACAAGAAACATTCACTACTACTGGGAAATAATACTTGGTTATGCAAGAATATGTCACACCTGTGCTAAGAGGCATGGTATGACAGGATCATTTGTATTTTCTCTTTTTTTAAAAAATATTTTTAATGTTAATTTTTGAGACACACACACACACACACACACACACACACACACACACACACAGAATCTGAAGCAGGCTCCAAGTTCCGAGCTGTCAGCATAGAGCCCGATGAGGGGCTCGAACCCACAAACCATGAGATCATGACCTGAGCGTAAGTAGGACACTTAACCCACTAAGCCACCCAGGCACCTCATATTTTCTCTTACCCAGGTGCTTTTTGTTCAAATTGCCTTGGCACTGCAGAGCGATGCCTGTTTCTTTTAAATGGCTCCATCCAAAAACCATAAAGGCAGTTGCCTTTCAGTTTCTTACATTGTGATAAAATATGCATAAGGCAAAATATACCATTTAATCATTTTTAAGGATACAGTTTACTGGTATCAAGTATATTCACATTGCTGTGCATCCATCGCCACCAACCATCTCCAGAACTTTTTATTTTCCCAAATTGTAACTCCGTAACTATTGTTTTTTATTTAAAAAATTTTAATGTTTATTTATTTTGGGGAGAGAGAGAGACAGAGAGAGAGCAAGTGGGGAAGGGGAAGAGAGAGAGGGAGACACAGAATCCAAAGCAGGTTCCAGGCTCTGGGCTGTCAGCACAGAGAACGATCCAGGGCTCAAAGCCACGCACGGTGAGATTATGGCCTGAGCTAAAGTCAGATGCTTAACTAACTGAGCCACCCAGGAGCCCTGGAACTCAGTAACTATTAAATACTAACTCCCCGCTCTCCTTTTCCCCAACCCCTTGCAACAACTCTTCTCCTTTTTGTCTCTGATTTTAAATCCTTTAGGTACCTCAGATAGGTGGTATTACATAGTATTTGGCTCTATGATTTATGTATTTCACTTAGCATAATATCTTTGACGTTCACGTAGTATGTAGCACGTGTCAGATTTTCCTTCCTTTTTAAGATTGAGTAATATTCCATTGTATGTATATGTCACATTTTGTTTGTCCATTCATCCTTCAATGAATGCTTGGGGTTTTTCCACCTTTTGGTGATTATGAATAGTGTTGCTGTGAACATGAGTTTACAAATATCTGCTGAAATCTTTGCTTCAATTCTTTTGGTGCCTTTCCGTTTGAGGACACAGAGCAAAAGATATGGAGCTTGAATAGTGCTAGTCATAAAAGCAAGTATTTAGGGTTGTCCTTTTTTAAAAGTTTATTTTATTAGAGAGAGAGCACACACAAGTGGGGAAGGAGCAGAGAGGGAGAATCCCAAGCAGGCTCCTCACCATCAGCGCAGAGCCGGACACAACACGAACCCACAAACTGCAAGATCATGACCTGAGCTGAAATCAAGAGTTTTGGACGCTTAACCAACTGAGCTGCACAGGAACCCCCAGGGTTGTACATTGTGGTGAGGGCTGGATCTTGAAAGATAGAGAAATCTATGTGTTCTTTAATAAAGTCATTGTGTGTTTGCGCATGTGTGTTTGTACAGAGAGAGAGATATTTTTGCCAGGCCAGAGTCCCTCTTGGATGACATTAATGGGCATAAATATGTAAATGGTACTAGAACTGGGTGAATATAGTAATGAGTGTAGATAGAAAAGAGGTTGAAAGTCTGTGCCTGGGACATTTAGAAATCAGAAAGAGAAGGGAGAACAAGAAGAGAAACCAAGAAAAACACAGAGACTTGGAAGCCAAATGAAATCCAACGTTGGGGGCTGATCAACAAGGCCAAATACTGCCAAGAGACTAGATAAGGGACTGAGAATTTGCCATTTGATACGACAAAAGTAAAAAGTAATGGTAACGTTTTAGAAAAAGCAGTTTCAGTGAGGAGCGGGGATGAAAGTCTGGCTGAAAGGGGTTCAATGAGAAGAAAGTGCTCATAGAGGGTCTGACCATCTCTTTACGGGAGTTTTGCTATAAAAGAGAGCAGAGATGTGGGACGGAAGCGAGGGGAGGATGTGGTGGAGTCAAAGAAGTTTTGTGGGTTTTGTCTGTTGTTGTTTTATAACAGTGGCATGACCACTGATGGCTCTGCATCTCCAGCCCTGCCCTCCGTAAAACTCCACAGACATATATCCAAATGCATCCATTTGGAGGTCTCAGAGGGCAATTAAAATTCACCTGTCCCAAGCAGAACTTCTGGTTCTCTCTCCCTCTTTCCCCAATCTGTTCCTTTCCTAAGTCTCTGTCTTTCTCAGGAAGCATCTTCGCCAACCATTCAAACTGAAGGCCATTCCGGATTCCTCTCTTTCCCTCACTCCTCATAACCAAAGCATCAGCCTCTTGCTTCCAAAATGTATCCTGAATCTGTTCGCCTTTACTACTGGGACTGCTGCAATAGCTCCTCTGTCTTCCTTCTTGCCTCCCACCATCTTTTTATAAGGTGGCAGCAAGAGTGTAAATCAGATGATATATGACCACTTAACACTTTTCAGTGGTTACTTGTAACCCTTTAAATCCCCGCTGCTTGCCTTGAGCTATAACGTCCTATATTATCTGGCCCTTTTCTCCTTCTCCAACCTCATCTCCACCACCTCCCCTGTCTTGTACCACGCTACGGATACACTGACCTTCTCCCCACCCCGTTGCATCCTGCCTTTTTTTAGGCCTAATTATTTGTATGCCAAAGATCCAAAAAGTACAGAGAATATTATAGAGAGCCGTGTGCCTACTACCTAGATCTAACACATTAATGTTCAGCCACATCTGTCCATTAAAATATGTTGTTCTCTGAATCTCTATTACCTGAAAAAGTGCCCAGCACATAATAGGTGCTAATCAATCAATGTTGATGTATGCAGTTTACTATGCTGATGTATGAATGTATGAAGTTTCCATTCATCTACTGGCTACATATTTCTGTGTGCAAATATACTGTAATTTGTTTATCCATCTTTCTACTGTTGAATATTTAGGCTGTTTCTGATATTTTATCATTATAATAGTGTTGCAATGAACATCGGCAACACAGTTTAAGAGGTCAGATTTGGTGGCTCTCAGATTTGGTTAAGCCTCTGACTTCAGCTTACGTCTTGATCTCACAGTTTGTGAGTTCGAGCCTTGTGCTGACAGCTCAGAGCCTGGAGCCTACTTCAGATTCTGTGTCTCCTCCACCCCCCCTTCTCTATTTCTCCCCTGCTTATGTTTTGTCTCTCTCAAAAATAAATAAACATTTAAAAAACTTTTTAAGAGGTCAGATTCTATGGTAGTTTTTTTTTTTTTTGTAGTTTATTTATTTTGAGAGAGAGAGAGAGAGAGACAGAGAGAGTGAGCTTGGGCAGGGGAGGGGCAGAGAGAGAACCCTAAGCAGTCTCTGTGCTGTCAGCGCAGAACCCAATGCAGAGCCCAAAGCCTGGCAATCTCATGAACCATAAGATCATTACCTGAGCCAAAATGAAAAGCCAGTTGCTTAACCAACTGAGCCATCCAGGAGCCTCTATGAGGTCAGTTTCTGGAGCAGACTACTCGGAATTGAATTCTGGGCACCATAATTCCAAGTTGTGTCACTTTGGTCAAGCTACTTAAATCTTCTGTGTCTGTTTCCTGAATTATAAAATGAGGGTAATAATAGTAACTTTTCATGGTATTGTTAGAATTAAATGAGTTAAAATATATAAAAAACCTTATCTTAATGAATATCAACTATTATTATTACGAATTGCTGATTCACAGGACATGTATATATTCAATTTTATTAAGTGATTACCAATCACTTACCAATTAATTCCTCCACCAGCAATATATAAGTTCCATATTCCTAAATCCTAAAACATGGTAGTAATTTAAAATTTCTGCCAATCTAATGGGTATGAAATTACATACATACATATATATGTAAGTTTATTTAATCTCTTCACCCAGCGTGGGACTGGAACTCATGACCCTGAGATCAAGTCAAATGCTCTTCTGACTCATCCAGCCAGGTGCCCCATATATTGTTTTAATTTGTACCTTGATGATTACAGTGAAGTTAAAGATCTTTTTATTGGCCATTCATTTTGGTTTTTTGGTGAACTAGCTCTGTGTATCTTTTATTTACTTTTCTACTGAATTGTTTGCCTTTTTCCTTTTGATTTTGGGAACATTTTTGGATATTAATCTCTTGGTGGTTTTATATATATGAATACCATCTAGTTTTTGGCTTCTTTCTGTTGCATCTTCTAAAACTTCTGTTGTTCCAGACTTAACTAATTTTTATGCAGTCAAATCTAACAATATTTTCTCACACGGTTTGTGCTTTTTGGGTCTTATTTAAGAACTATCCCTATTTTAATATCCTAAAGACACTATTTCCTGAAAAATATTTCGAGGCCTGTAATCCATCTGGGATTTATTTTTAGATATGGTTTAAAGTAAAAATCTAATTTTATTATTTAATTTTCCTATTGAAAAAAGTTGCCTCAGCACCATTTCCTGCAGAGGTCATCCTTTCCCTACTGACTTGTAGTGCCCATTCTTAAAATCCACCATCCCACGGACCTAGTCTTCATAACCTTTGCTTATTTTCTTTCTACCGGGGATACTTTTCTCTCGCTCTTCGGATCGCAGCTCAAGCGTCATGCCCCTCCCATCTGGGTTATGTCTACACGTAAGTCCGGCTCAGTGACCCCGTGACTCCAGAGAGTCTGGAAAGGCAGAGAGAGGTGGGTGTTTGGCCAGCTGCCGCCAGGCTGTTGCCAGGGCGGCTGTCGGGAAGGCCGCCGAGGGGAGGGGCACCCAGAGGCCCTAGTGACGGAATCCTGCCCGCGCCCGCGTCGCCAAGGAGTGCGTCACCAAGTGTGGTAGAACGGGGGCGGGGCCAGGGCTGAGTCACGTGGCTTGGTTGCCTACGCGCTGCTGGGCCGTGGGAAGATGGCGGACGGAAAGGGAGACGCCGCCGCCGCCGCCGGGGCCGGGGCTGAGGCTCCGGCGGGAGCCGGAGCCGGGGACGGAGCCGAGACTGAGTCCATGGCTCGGGGTCATCGCCCTGCGTCTCCGGCGCCGGGAGCCCCGGGACTGCGACCATGTCTGTGGCAGCTGGAGACAGAGCTGCGGGAGCAGGAGGTGTCGGAGGTCTCATCTTTGAACTACTGCCGGAGCTTCTGCCAGGTGAGGGGCTGACTGGCTGGCCGAGGGCGGCGGGGTGGGGAGGCCAGGGGAAGAGGCCTCGGATCGGTTGCCGCAGCCGGGGCTGGACTGAAAGGCGCCACCTCCATGTCTTGCCGCGCCCCCGGGCCGGGAAGGCCCAGCTCGGGGAGCTCGACCGCTGGCCCCCCTTCACCGCTGCCAGACTTTGGCCACCGCCAGGGCGGGTTGCGCTGGGCCAGGCTGAGAGCCCGCAGGGCGCCGGCGGCTCCCTGGAAGGGCCGTGCCCTGTCGCCGTTGCCTGTCCCCCTGCCGGGTGGTTGGTTGGAGCGCCATTGCCTGCAGAGAGATTGATGGCTCGTTCCTGCTGGGAGATCCTTTTTTTGAGTGCAGATCTCCAAACTGGAAAACCTGAGTTTTCCTGAATAATCCGGAGATAGGTGTTGGGGCCAGAGACTTCTCTCTGGAGTCAACGTCATCTGGACCCCTAAAAGGTCTGACAGTTGGCTTTGAAAGGCGTCTTGGGCTTTCTCATTAGTGATTGCGGAGCCTGTTGGTGGTGCTTGTTTTTTAATTTTTTTCCTCCTTTTTTCTTGTTTTCTTTATTTACTTATTTTTGAGAGGCGGGGTGGGGAGACTTTGAGCTGTTCTTCCGCTTCTTCTGTATTCCTTTTGAGGATTGTGCTATCAGCAATGAGGCTAGCGAGCCTTGTGGTGGCTATTAGGGTCTTTGAGTAGAAGAGGATTGAGAAAGATGTGGAGTGTGGTCTGTTGGCAATGGTATGACCATTTCTGTGCTATAGTGGGTCCTAACCTGTGGTTACATTCTTATCGATTGGTATGTTTAGTTTAGTCTCCATGGTCACTTGGAGATTTTTGTCTGTAAATTTTAAAGTATGCTATTATTATTCCTCCTTCTGCTGTTCTATCAGGTTCAGGGCCAACCCTCTACTCCTCACCTGGTGTATCTTAGAGAATGCAAAATAATGGTAATATGTTGGTACTTGGACTCTTGATGAGTAGTTGAGCATGCTGAATAAATTGCGCTGTTGCAAAGTTGTGATTTGGGGGGACAATATGCTCTCTTAGTCCAGTGGAAAATAAAAAATAGAGTTGCTTTCTTTTCTGCTTCCTCTTTGCTGAGCCAGAGACACCTCATCTCTTTGAATGGAATTTTGTCCATGCTCATCTTTCCTATACATTGTATCGTTAACAGTTTTTATGTCTACAGCCTGCAGCATTTCTCTGCACTAGAAAGTGTTGAGGTGTAATTGTTCTTTGCTTCCATGCTAGTGGTGAGCATCGGTACTTACTACACACGTTTATTCTGCGAACTTTAACTGACTGCATTCGATGGTGCCAGGCACTTCATCGAGTGCTGAGGAAACGTGAATAAGACAGCACATACCCTTGATGAGCTTACAGTTGGGAGCAAGTGGTAGACATAACAGTATTTCCGAAACAGTTTTGGTAATGATGGAAAAGGAGGTGTTGTGGAGACAGTGGTGAGGGGATAGCCATCCTGGTGCATCCTAATGGAACAACAATTAACTAGTGAAAACAAGTTAAAAGTTTAACTATGGGCTGTAGTGTGTACTCAGAAGTAGCTGGGAGAGGTCTCTTTAGATAGGGTGGTCCAGGAAGGCCCTAAGGCTGAAAGGATAAAAATGAGCCTTGGGGCTGTTGGGGGAGGGGAGCGTTTGAGTGCCAAAGGTAGAGAGGAGAAGGAAAATTGAGGCTTTGGGAGAACGGGGAGCTGTTCGGACAGGAGTAGTGGGGAGGAGGACAGGAGAAGAAATGTGGGTTTGGGGAAGTCTTCTAAGCTTGTGTTATTGTCTTAGAAAGATAACAAGAATCGATGTAACTAGTTAAATTGAAGCTTGTCAGAGGATACCATATGTACATCTACATGTCGATAGATTTTGCTTTATGCCTACTGCTTGTAGCCCTCATCTCATCTTAACTGAATGTTTTAATGTAATGTCTTGAGTCTTGGTCCTACGTAGAAATGTGAGGGCCCAGAAGAATTTAAAAAGGAAAGTACTCTTGTAATTTGTCTTTTCTGTGAAGATTTCCTATGGCCTAAGGTTTTTCCTCCCAAACACTTTTTTGGACTAATAGAGGAAATAAGAAAAGATGTCCTTGTAATGATGTGTTATACTAGGAAGCACATTGGATTGGGAGCTAGTTGGGTCCTATTTGTGACTCTACCACTTTTGAGTTAATAGCCTTGGGCAAACTGTGCCTGTGGAATTTATTTTGTTTCCTGGCCTTTATCTCCTTATCATACTTTATACAAACTGTAGAATAGAAAGTTTGTATACAACTCTTCACAGTATTTGTCACAATATTTTTTGCCACATTTCCCCCCAGTAGTACAGATAAAATCAACTCACGGTGTCCTTGTTCACCAAATACAGAAAAAAATTCAACATTTTATGATGGAGGAGGAACAATTTCACCATTCAAATTTGGTTGAATAGCTCTTGGTTTCACATTTGAAAGGCAGAATAAGATTTATTCATCCACTCTGTGGTGTGCCTGACATTGCACTAAGTGCTGGAGATAGGAACATGCTCTCTAGGAGCACTTAATGTGTAAAGGTAGGTAGTAGCATCATAAAGGCCTGATTTGTGCTCTCCGGGATACTTAACTGCCACACAGGTATTTTCATCAGATATTTAGTTTAGAAATGTTCTAGAGATTTAGGTTGTACTGAGCACATCCGTTCTGCAACAGGCTAGGACCATATTCTCTCCAGCTCTTGCAGTACTTAAAAGAAATGGCTCTATCTTTGGAATTGTACCAAATGGAGAAATAAACCAACATATGAAAGGATAGAGAAGCTTGTCTCATTCTGGGCATGTTTTCAATTCTCAGAAGTTTGTGAAGATGATAAAAATGAAACTTGAGAAGTAATAGTTACTAAGAAAATGATACTTAGATCAACTTGTATTCAGTGAACATTTGTATTCAATGACTATGGGATGTGGCTTTTCCTTCCAATTCCTTTTCTGAAAACATTGTCTGAGGAACGGTGTGGATGAGATTAGCTTCAGAAAACAGTCTTTCTTTGTTTTGATGAAAAATTGATGGCTATCCTCTCAAGTTTTTGCTGTGTTTTGGAAATCAAGATTCCTAAAGTTTTACAACTGGTAGTTCTATTTGTACACAAATTTTGAGAGCTTTTTAAGTAACATTAACAGACTTGAAATTATTGGGTGAATGATTATATTTTAAGAATACCAGGCAAAGTACTTTTGTGAGTAAACCTTGTTTGTTTGAAACACTTTTAGGTTCTAGACTATTAGTGACTTTATAGATTTTTAAATGTTAAAATAAGTACTGCATATATTCAGTTTTTCCTGGATTAGTGATTGAATGCAAAGGGTCTCCTGGCTTCACCATTTCAACTAGCTATGTGACCCTGGGTACATTATTTTCTTTAACCCTTAGTTTTCTCATTAGTGAATGGAGCAATAATAGTACTTACTATTATCTATAAATATATTGTTTATGGACCAAATAAGAAAATCTAAAAAACAGTGTTCCTGGAATTGTCCTAGTTTTCCAGATTTCTTAGCCTTAGAATAGAAAGTCCTCACCCCCTTACTCCCAGTTTACTTTTCAGCTCTTACTTAGCCAATCCCATCATCATAATCCTACTCTCTTATTCAGGGATCTTTTACTTGGAGGTCTTGGACCAAAATATGATCTCATTTATTCCTGTGATTAAAATTTCTCCAAGTACATTATTTTGGGAAAGCTGGTTTTAATTTTCATTTGATTCCTCAAGATCCAAGATACATATTAGGCTTTCGGTAAATATTTACCAATTGATTGATCTCCAAAAGGATACTTTAGTAGCAGGATCTCAGGTCATTAAGTATTCTGTGCCTTTGCCTTTCATTGTGTGTTCTCTCCTTTTTCTCTCATTTTCTATAGGGCAAATTTTCCTTGTTTAGGGCCCAGTGCAAACACCATCTCCTCCGTGAAACTTTCTCTGATTTCTCTAGATTTCCTCTTAGATGTTTGTGTTCTTTTGACACTTTGTACATGCTTTTAACTCTTGGCCTTTCTTGCTGTCACTGTCTTCATCCAGGTTTCATAAATAATGTCCTATCACAAAAACCTCTTCACTGAGCCCCCTTCTTTCTGACTGGCTTTATCCATAGTCCATTTTGGCATTCTTTCCAAATTGTAAATATAATCTTGTTAGTCACTTTGTTCCCTAAAATTCTTCAATGGTTTCTTATGCCAAAGACAAGCTAAAATTCAGACTTACCAGCCTCACCTGGCAGACGAAGCCTTTTAGAATTTTGACACTGCCCCCACTCCCCTTCCCCACCTCCCACCTTTCCAACCTCTCTCTCTCTCTCTCTCTCTCTCTCTTTTAAATACCTTTACTACAGTATCCATCTCTAAGTCTGCCTGATTAACCTAGGGTCCTCCCTCCCTTCTCCATCTGCCTGTTTATCCTTTGAGATCAACTTCAAACATTAAGTCTTTCAGAATGTTTTATGATTGCAGCAGACAGAATGAGGTGATTCTTAGTGTACTCTGATAGTATCTTGCACATAATTGTTACCTGAATAGTTGTTTCCATGTTTGTCTCTTGAATTGGCTAGCAAACCAACAAGTCTTTTTTGTTTTTGTTTGTCTTTTAGTCTTTTATGTATACTTGGTACCTAGCAATTAATACAGTGCCTGGCACACAAAACTAATTTGTTGAATGAATTATATTGTAGAACTTCATGATATACTCAAGAGATTAGTACTTCAAAAGGAACACGATGTAAAATCTGATGTAAAAAGCAACTTTATCATAAGAAATTACTGTAAAGGAGTAGAATAGACACTTTGCTCATTTCTTGGAGCCATATTTGTGAACTTAGCCTACATTCTTATAATAATGTACACATTTACACTTGTGGAATGAGGAGTAGTGTTGTTGGAGGGAGAAAATTAGAGACATTATAGTGTTGAGGAGTTAGCAGCCTAGTTAAGACAGCAGTTTGGAAATG